TTCAATAGAATATTTTTAGAAGATTGCAGTGGAAAAATGAATTAAAATTGCAGAACAACACATGACTATTTTAACTATATTAATTTCTCTCTGCTAGAAAGAAGGAATGTCAAACTGTCACTGAAAGTCAGACAGAAGCTGGTAATTTATACACACACATTTCCAGAAGGACCTATTGTCTCTGGATCCAAAATGTGCATTGCTAAAAACCACCACTACCAGCACAGACAATAAGAATCCCTGCATAGTCACAGGGTTATTTTTAATCTCACCTTCAATATGCCTTCAAAAATCTTTAATAAATTACAGTGGGCTGTAGTCCACGAAAGCTTATGCTCTAATAAATTTGTTAGTCTCTAAGGTGCCACAAGTACTCCTGTTCTTCTTTTTGCGGATACAGACTAACACGGCTGTTACTCTGAAACCTTTAATAAATTACTTTTTCTTAAATTTAAAGTTTCAAACACCCTTTCCTGAGCATTAAGGTGAAGTCACTTACTTGGTATTAGAGAGACTTTGGTCCATTTAAAGACAGCATCGGAGTCCACAGTGCTATACAGCTGTGCAAGAACCTCTCTAGAAAAAATTGAAACAACTGCTAGGGTGTATTTATTTTATTCTGAGTCTGGGTTAGATTAATTATTCATCTCCAGTTTCTGCTGTAATCTTGTGCTAAATCAAAAACCTTTTCCATGCAAAAGGTGATTTACATTTTAGCTGCAGAACAAGAAAATTAGCTCAAAGAGGCATGATTTTTGTTGTCTCTTCGAGCCTTTATAATTAAAATATGGAATCCTTGGTCCTGCAAAGACTTACAAACATGCTCAACTTCCTACACCCTGAGGCAGATTCTCAGTTGGTGTAAAGGGTCCTGGCACCTTTGAAGCCAATATGAAAATTTACACCAGCTGAGGATCTGTCCCGCTGGATAGCCCTATTAACATTTCAGTGGATCTATTACAATGTGTAAACTGAAACACATGCTCAGTTTCTGTAGGATCAGGGCCTTACAGAAGAATTTTGATGCTTGACTCCCAAAATTTCCTGCTTTCAGAAACAAATTCCGTTCCTCAAAGCCAAGATCTGCCAGTGGGTTGAGGAGGATTGATTAGGGGTCCCAAAGAACAGCAACATGCCGTATGTGGGACCATGTAGTAAGGTGACCCTCCGTTCTGAAAATAATAAAAATAGTTATGGATGTTTTCCTTCTTTAATTTAACTAATGAGGATAAAACCCTGTATAGAGTAATTAGGCATGTGCACTCGACAGCATATAAAGAAATGTGCAAAGGTAAAATAAGTATTTAAAATATTATTATTAAACCAACACAATAACATATGCATAATATCTCCCTTTCCCGTCACAATAAACGAAAAACAAGGGATTTAAATAAATCAATCGTAATTAAGATTTTATTTATTTATTTATTTATTTTACACAAAAACATTGACGAACATTTCCTGGCCCTTTCTTCTGTCTTTTCATGTAACTTCCTCTGAAAATGGCAAAAACCCCAAGGGCTAGACATTTGCCTGAGGGAAAAAGAGTGTTTGTTATGTTCAAGGTTTTTGTGCAGGGCTCTATGGTGTCTGTATCACTGTGTGTATGTATACTCCACTCACCATGCTAAACCTCTTTACATAAACTGTCCCTGTAGCTCAGAGGGGATTCAACACTTCTCAGAATTGTAGTCCAGAGAAATGAGCTGTTACTTGGAGCTGCCCATGTGGGTGAATGCTTCCTTGGAACTGCAGCAAGCCCAGTTCTGAAATGTTTCACAGTTCAACTTTTCATCTTCTTCTTCTTCTGTCAGAAGAGTCCCCTTGGTTTCTGGCAGCATAGCATGGTTTGCACTGCTAATGCACTTGTAGTCTGGTAGGCAGATCTCCATTACATAAAGGGAATTCACCTTACGCATAGGATTCCACAAAGGGTAGTCAAGTCTGATATCCCACACACACACCCTGAAAAGCAATGGCAGTCAAATTATGGGATATAATTTAACCATAAAGGAATTTCTATACAGCAAGTTTCCACTGACAGTAACGGTCTCTGATACCTCACAGGGATCTTCTTTCTTCCTCCAACAGTGTAACACAAATCCTTAATTGCAGTCCCAGCAACATTACCCTGAACCTACTAGGTTAATGTTTCAAGAGGAAGTATGAAGTGGTAAAATTGAACCCAATCTCACTATAATTCTGTTACCGTATTTCTATAACATTTGTTTATACAACTCCATGCTGGTTGCAAATCTTTCCTCTACCCACCCTCTGTTTGTTAACTTGTCTGTCTAGTTCTACATTGTGTGTTCCCTGGGGCATGGATCCTCCTCCTTCTCTCTTTGGAAAGTGCCTAGAATCTCAGTTCTCATACTTTCAGACCTAGCGTACAGCATATCTAAGGGGGAGGGAGTTACTTGGCATAAGGAGACTTTGTGGTTTTAAACAGTGCAATTGAATCGCTGGCACAGGGGGAAAGCTGCTTTGTGCAAAGAAAGCATGCAGTCAAGATGGGACTGAAAAACTTATTAGCCAAAGTTGTGGTAAAGGTGGTCTAAAGGTAGGCAGTGGTGTGTGAGAAAAAGCTTTCCAATGCCTCGTCCCCTCTGACCAAATGAACAAGTCTAGATCAACAGGCTGCAAAGATGATTCTCTACCTCAGAATATTTAATTTCTCTTACTTTTTTTAAAATTTCAATGGCAATTAGGCAGCTAACTAAGAATATAAGAATATTAGAACATAAGAACGGCCATACTGGCTCAGACCAAAGGTCCATTATCCCAGTATCCTCTCTCCCAACAGTGGCCAATGCCAGGTGCCCCAGAGGGAATGAACAGAACAGGGAATCATCAAGTGATCCACCCTCTGTCGCTCATTCCCAGCTTCTGGCAAACAGAGGGTAGGGACACTATCCCTGCCCAGCCTGGCTAACAGCCATTGATAGACCTATCCTCCATTAATTTATCATTTTTGAACCCTGTTATATTCTTGGCCTTGACAACATCCTCTGGCAAGGAGTTCCACAGGTTGACTGTGCTTTGCGTGAAGAAATACTTCCTTTTATTTGTTTTAAACCTGCTGCCTATTCATTTCATTTGGTGACCCCTAGTTCTTTTGTTATGAGAAGTACTGTATTTTCTGGCGTATAAGACTACTTTTTAACCCAGGAAAATCTTCTCAAAAGTCGGGGGTCGTCTTATACGCCCAGTCTTCTTATACGCCGCAAAATACGGTAGTAACCAACACTTCCTTATCTACGTTCTCTGTTTGTCACTGAATGAGGAATGCATGATATACGCTATGCCAGACATTTGTTAACTGCTATGTCTGCCATAGTACCTCTTTCTTGTCCCATACCTGTTCCCATTGGCCAGGGGTACCAATATGGGGCCATGCTAAGCAACTGGATGGATACGAATTTCCAGCACCACTTACATTTGTGATTCCTATAAGGGATCCAGGGTGAGGAGGGAGAAGCAAAACCAGCCAATTTTGTTTTCAGAGTTCCTGTCCCTACAGAAACAAGGAGGAAATATTTCCAGGTCAATGGAGAGAGAAAGGGGAAGGAGAAAAAAAAAAAAGCTACCAACTGCATGGAAAACATTTCTTTGCATCTATTCTCTTCCTTCATTTGCACAGAAACCAGATCCATGTTTCTGAAGAATTTGCATGGATCTGCTTCTTATTCTCCTCACTGTCTGGGACTTAACACATGGTTGCATTGGAGACCAATTAGAACATCAGCTTTCCCCCAAATCAGACTTCAGCTGCACGTGTTTGTTTCATGAGTCTGCTCAGGGCATGTGTGTAATCAGGGTAGATCAGGTGAAACACGGACTGAACATGCGGCTCATCACAGCAGACCCCTCCTAGTCCTACAAGTGGCAATATGGTTGCTCCTCGCACACCCAAACCACCTTCCAGGACTCTGAAACCTCAAGTGGTTGAGAATTTTAGCTACTTCCTCACCCAAATTCCTTGTGTTCCAGCATGGGCTCCCGGGCTTCCCAACTCCACCTGCAACAAGGCACACAAAATCCCCACATGCATAAACACGGCAGTAGCCAGTAGAAGCAGGGAGGTGATTTTACCCATGTATATGGCACTGGTGAGTCTGGTACTGGTATACCGCATCTGGTGTCCAAATTTTAATAAGGACGCTGAAAAATTAGAGATGGATGCCTTTCTAGGAGTGATGCTTTACTCAAACACAATCAGCGGGATCACTAAGTGAAATTCTCCAGCTGGTATTAAACTGGAGATCAGACTAGGCAATCTAACAGTTCCATCTGACCTACGAAGATCTGGCTTTTCAATAAGGCCATACAAGCAGCTTCTAAGGGCACAGCAGTTCCAGCCAGGGAAATGGTACAGTGAAGTTAACTGGAGACGCAGCAAGGTGAGAAGGGCTAGTCAAGGAACTATTTAAAAGTAGCATGCAGGGAGAGGGGGGATAATGGCTGAGTTTTGGAAATGGGAAGGAGTCAGGGAGTCAGTGGGGATTACTATGTGACTTTCTATGCCCCCTACGACGCAGGAAGTCAGTCTAGATCAGGGGTAGGCAACCTATGGCACACGTGCCAAAGGTGGCACACAAGCTGATTTTCAGTGGCACTCACACTGCCCGGGTCCTGGCCACTGGTCCGGGGGGCTCTGCATTTTTATTTAATTTTAAATGAAGCTTCTTAAACGTTTTAAAAACCTTATTTATATAACTAAACTATTGTTGTATGTAAAGTATTATAGACTTATAGAAAGAGACCTTCTTAAAATGTATTACTGGCACGCGAAACCTTAAATTAGAGTGAATAAATGAAGACTCAGCACACCGCTTCTGAAAGGCTGCCGACCCCTGGTCTAGATGGTCATAATGGTCCCCCCGGCCTTAAACCTTGACCCCATCTACTAGATTTCACTGCAGGCCCAAAATGGAAGAGGGAGTTAATGCTTCTCTCCATCCTTGATGTAGTGGGGTCTGCTCAGGGCACGTGTCATCGGGTGAAAGATGGACTGAATATACTCATGACAGACTCCACCCACGCCCTCAAACACAGCTGTGACACCACCAATGGCAAAGCACAGAGGAGTCTCATGGGTCTGAGAAGAAATGTCTTGTGGGCTGGATCTCCCCTCAACACCCACTCTCAAGATAGTTGTGTGGTTAAGGCTCTTGACTGGGACATCTGGGCTCAGTTCTCAGCTCTGCCACAGACTCCCTGGGTGACCTCAAACAAAGCCAACAAAAATCTTTGGGACGGGGATGGTCGCTAAGTGTCTCTACAACCCGCAGCACATTAGGGCCTCTAGGCAACAGTGTAACATAACTAATAATAAAACAGTGGATGGGCCCATCAAGTCAAGCATCCTGCCTCCAGCAACACATCTCTGGCTACTCCCCACTACCCCTCACAGAGCAAGCCCTGAAAGCACAGGAGTTGATTATCCTTATCTCAGCTCATGTAGGCTGTAAAACCACTCAGTCCCTTTTCTTTAAGGCCCTTCTCACCTGGAGACCCTTACCCTACTGGCTTGGGTGCTCAGGTCCGGGATGTTTCATTTCGGCCCATTTTCAAGATTCAGTTACTTTGTTTGTCCACTTCAGCCCCAATTGTTTTGTGGGGTTGGGGAGTCAGTCTCCAGCCTCTCCACCATCTGAAACAGGCAAAGAAACATTTATAAGACCATGACCCATAAAGCCTCTTCCTCTGCCTTGCTGCTGCAGCTATATCAGAAATCAGAGTTGCTTCTGGACCCATCTAAACCCAATTCCCCAGCATACCACAGGCCAGTTCTACCTGGGCATATCTAGGCAGGAAGAGCTAACACTACACACGGAGGGGAAGACAGCAGGACTAAAATGAAGTCACTTCTGGGGTGGAGAGAGGCAGCCAGAGCAAAGTGCAAGAGGAGAAGGGTGGGGAATATTTTAGTACAACGGTTCTCAACTGGAGGTCTGCGGCCGGTCCATGAAGCAGGGCTGGCATTAGGCTGGCTGGGACCCAGAACAGAAAACTCTGAGCCTCGCAGAGCTAAAGCCGCCAGCCCTGCCGGGCAGAACCCCCCTGGGCAGAACCCCTCCCCACCCCCCGGGCCCTGGAATTTTTATAGCATGTTGTGGGGACCTCAAAGAAAAAGGTTGAGAACCCTTTTTTAGCGGACAACTGGCCAAGCTCCCTACTATGCTTACAAAAGATCCCATAGCCCTTTTAATGTCCACACTGAGCAGACAGGATCTCAAATTTTGTTAAGGCCTCAAGCAAGAGACCCGAACAGCTTCAGACCAATAGCATTAATTTATCTGCAGTGGAAGGGGGAAAGAGATGAACCAATCCTGGACACTGAGGATTTAAAATCTGAAGTTTACATCACTAAGGTAACACCAGCCTAAAGGCCTCAAGTCTTGCACAGGCTAGTAGGTTAGCAAGGCCCCAAAGCCACAAGTCATTCCTACTACACTCCATGATCGTAGCTGAACGCTGGATCAGTCAACACAACTGGTAACAGACACTTTGATAAAGTCAGAGCTGAAAAACATCTGCTAGAATCCAAAGGCCAGAGCTGAAGATTTGACACGCCTCAGCCTGCACTAATTCGGGGCAGGGAGATGGTCTGGCAAGCTGTGACGAAGTGGAGATTTTCCCTTGTTATGTTGTATGTGAGTCTTACTGTTCTGCATGAATGCTGTGTGTGCCTCAGTTTCCCTTTGTATTGCACCAATGTCTAGGTGTATCTTTTGTGGGGGTTGCTCCAACTGCCTGCATGGATGCTATGGCCGCCCCTTCATAACCTGAGACCCAGGAGGGGGATGCGACCAGGTGACTCTTGGTCTGGGAAGGAGACAAAGGCCGGAGGAACAATGGGCAGGGCAGGGGCCAGGCAGCTCTCTGCTGGCTTTGGGCACAGGAGGAGGGCCAGAGCCCTGGCTCTGGACTCCCTTTCCCTCCCACCCAAAGATGGACTTGGCTGAAAGTCACTGATTTCCGTACTAACAAGTTCTGTTCTACGCTTTGATCCTGTTGACTCATAAACCTTCTGTTTTACCAGCTGGCTGAGAGTCACGTCTGACTGTGGAGTTGGGGTGCAGGGCCCTCTGGCTTCCCCAGGAGCCCCACCTGGACGGACTCCCTGCAGGAAGCGCATGGTGTGGAAGGGGATGTTGAATGCTCCGAGGTCAGATCCAAGAAGGTCGAAGCTGTGTAAGCTTCTTGCCCTGGAGACAGTATGCTCAGAGAGAGGAGGCATGCTTCCCCAAGTCCTCACTGGTTTTGTAGAGAGTAGTTCCAGAGCCATCGCCCCATGACTCTGTGACACAGGCCTAATCCTGCCCTGATCTACCCAACAGGAATACTCTGGAATCCTCTCTCCAGGTTGGAAATTATAGTATTGGTAAAGTCCTTAAAGAGAGGTAGACAAATAAAACCCAGGAGTCCTGACTCTCAATCCCCCTTATGTACAACTAGACTCGACTGCCTTGCTCTAACCACTAGTTCACACTCCCCCAGAGTTGGGAATAAAACTCAGAGGTCCTGACTCCCAGCCCCCCTTTTCTAACCCACTATAGTTGCCTCTAGATTTCGACAGTTTTGCTGTTATGTAGAGTTTAGTTCCCTGGGCAAGGGATTTCCCTTCCTCTCATACCAGCTCATTGCTCCCCATATCTGGAACATGGCATTGGTCCAAAGCAATTGTTTTCTCCCAGCTCATCAATTCCATTTTCAGCCTAAAATGAAGGGATACAAACAGTGGTTTAGGATACATAGACCAAAACCTGGCAACCAGACCACATCCAACCCCACCACAGCTATGTCAGAAAAGAGGCTTTTAAAGGTTACATTAGAGACTGGAGCAATGTTCCCTCTAATTCAGGGCTCTCAAACTCAAAATGACCACGAGGGCCACATGAGAATTAGTGCATTGGCCCAAGGGCCGCATCACTGACACCCCCTCCTTGCTGGCCCCACCCATGCCCTGTTTCTTCTCCACCTCCTCCCCTGAGCGTGCTCCTCCCCTCTCCCTCCTGGAAAGTGCTAAGTGTTATACAGAGCATACAGATCAGTGCTGCTCCTACAACAAGTCATTTCCAAGCGGTTTTAATAAAATATATACACTCAGTAATGCACCTCACTCAAAGGACAAAATATGCATTTACTTAGATTTACTTCTGTTAAAGCCCCCCCACTGCACTGGGCTGTACCACCACTCCACCCCTGTTCTGCCTCTTCAAGGGGTGGCAGGTTTGTAGAAATTTTGGTGGTGCCCAGAACCTGTCCCCTCCCCCCAACTCCGCCCCCCCCCCCCCCGCCTAAGGCTCTGGGAGGGAGTTTGGATGGAGGAGGGGGTCTGGGGTGCAGGCTCTGGGAGGGAGTTTGGGTGCTGGGTGCAGGCTCCAGGCTGGGGCAGGGGGTGGGGGTGCAGGCGCTGGGATGGAGTTTGGGGATAGGAGGTGGTGAGGGCTGTGGATGAGAGGTTTGGGGCATTGGAAAGGCTCAGGACTAGGGCAGAAGGGCAGGGGAAGGGCAGCCTGCCCTGACTTAGTGGATGGGGGCACTAGGACCCTGCAGCAGCAGGTGATGCCGGAAACCAGCAGAGTGGAGCATGAGCTGCAGGCTCAGGGGCGGTGAGGGGGAGGCAAGTGAGTCCCGGGGACACTTGGGGGAGGCACGTGGGGGCGGCAGGCGGGGCCGGGAGAGAGACCCGGCCCCAAACATTGGGGAGCAGCGAGCAGGAAGCTTAGCAGCCACATAAAATAACTCGGGGGGGCGCGCAGGGATCTTGGCGGGCTGCAGGGAAGAGCTCCGTGGTCCGCATGCGGCCCACGTCTTTGAGACCCCTGCTCTAATTTTTGACAGGTCATGTGTGCAAAAAATTTCTTCTGTGCAAATGTTTGTGCTTCTGTGCAAATATTCTGTGCAAATTTTTGCGCACGCGGTGTTTCCCCGTGTGCACGGGGTTTAGGATCTGTGTGCGCGCGCACACGCGCACAGCTTAGAGGGAACAGTGGACAGGAGTGTAAAAGCCTCTACAACAAGATGTTCCCACCTTTGGGGTAAGTAGCAGCAAGTCCCCAATAATGCAGAAGCTACACTCACTAAAATGAATACAGAAATGAGGGTTTGTCCTTCTCCAGCCCCTTCCAAAAATCTTCAACATTGGGGCTTTCAGAGGAGCCTAAGGGAGTTAGGTATCTTACCCCATGCCCCCCCTTAGGCTCCTCTGACAATCCCAGCCCAAGTGCTTTACAAATATTAATTCTCATCCGCCCTGCAAAGTCAGTATCATCCTCATTGTGTAGATGGGGAAATTGAGGCACAGAGCGGCAAATGACTTGACCAAGGTCACCAGCAAGTGGCAGAGCCACGAATAGAACCAAATGAAGGTCAATCTTACATGGTGCCACCCCACAATCTCTTCCCGGTGATGTAGGGCACTGCTGTTCTCCAAATTTTACAGCTAGGGAATTGAGGCAGCGGGCCAGTTTTTAAAATGTCTGTGGACACCTAAAGACACAGAATTAAATCAGTAGGTGTTAGGCACCTATGTGTTTCCGAACATTCCACTACACATCTATCTGTATCTTTAGTGCCTAAGTACCTATAAAAATCTGACACAGAGAGACTAAGACTTGCACAAGGTCACACAAGAAATTCGTGGTGGAGCCAGAAATTAAGCCCATGTCTCTCAAGTCCCATGCTAGCACCCTAATTGCTGATTCCTCCTTCCTCTCGGCCAAAAGGCTTTACACTTCTAGTCTCAGCTCTTCCTGATTGACTTTGGGGCTTTTCAAACCAGACTGAACACAGGGATAGAAAGCAGACTATAGGGAACAATCCTGCACTGACCCCAAGACGACAGGCCTGTTAGGCCACCCATCCTATGTAGCTCTAATCTTCTGTATTAGAATAAACCTTAATTGAACGGATTACTGCCCTGAATCAGCCTCCAAACTTTATCCCACTGCCTCATTTGCAGATCCAACCCCCACAGCAGGGCAGAGAATCTTTCTCTGAAAGCCATAGATTTGCATTCTGCATCTGACATCTTTTGAGGCTTCATAGATCCTGGGATCAAGTATCTTTCTGACCTGTATAAAAGTGACTGGCTTTCTTTATCTTGGTAGATGCAAGGAGTCTTAAGATGCTACAGATCAGGTAAAGGTTGCAGAGGGGGATGGCTCAAAGGCTATGAAGTACCCAACCATTTGTAGCTAATAAGGGGTCAAAACAGATGCAAAAACAATAATATTTATTAATTTGCTCTCTTTCTAGAAACTCCCATCCCAGTGTTTTATAATCATTAATGAATCAAGACTCACATGCTTCCTATGAAGTATTATTCACATTGTGCAGGTGGGGAAACTGAGGTACAAAGAGGTACAGGCAAAGTGGCTTGCTCAAGTTCACCCCTGGGTCATCTTCAAAGCCGGTAATAGGAGTCCTGGCTCCCAGCCCACCTACCAATAGACCTCACTACCCTCCCAGTGCTGGGGTAGAACTCAGGATGGGTGGGCTGGGAGCCAAGACTCACGAAACTGCTTTTTTAAAAGGGGGTCTGGATGGCACGTGGGGTTCAGCAAAGGCACTATACAAGCAGACGGGAGTTTTACTACAGGAGCCAAATTGGGCTCAGGATAGCCTCTGAAGTCCACTGTGTGTTTCAAAGCCAGCAGAGCTCACTCAACTTTCCTCTCTTGTAACTAAGCTTCCATTTACTTCCTTCAGTAGAGTTTCATCCGCAAATTATAAAGTGGGGCGAAAAGCCAGAGCAAAATTGAGGCCTGGAGCGACGTTCAACTCCCCTCCTTCCCCCCTCAACACATCTGCCACACACAGCGTGGACAATTACACCATTGCCAGCAGCAGCATTTCTGAACCCCAAGTCAAACCCGCTCCCAGCTCATTCCACACCCCGAAAGAGGCCGCTAGTCCTAGAACACACAGCGGAAGTGGGAAGGCACCTTCCTAACCCTGCTCCCTCCGCAGCAAGGACGTCCTTTGTTCAGCCTTCACCGGCTCCCCCACCATGTGCTTTTTTCTCTTAAAGGGACACACACCTGTACATAAAACTCCTGCTGTTTATTATGGTTCGGTTATAGCAGGACGAGCGGGTCTTTGGACTTCGCTCTCCCTTCCAGAGCTGGGAGCAGAATCTACTGTATTAAGGGCAAAATTAAGCGTCAGAACTACTCGGGGGTTCGCCTCCGAGCTCTGCAGCACACTCCCTGCCTGCCCTGAAACAAGTCACCAAATCATACGGGGGAGGGAGAAAAGAGGAGTATGAGAGAGCTAACAAACTCTTTCCACAGCATGCGTGACTTGATGCAGGCCTGAAGAGGAACACTGCAGACAGACACACAGTAATTTATTAAAACACAGGGACAAATCGTGCCATCTGTTTCGCCCAGATACTGTGAGTTCAAGGGGAATTTCAGCGGTGTCACTGAAGATCACACAGCACAATCTCACAGTTTTAACAGGCCACTAATCCCCTGTCCTTGGCCCCACCTAAAAGGGTGTCCTATGGATTATGAATTCATCAGCCCCACGGTCAAATGAAAAGCCTCTCTGCACCATATACAGTTTAACTACATTTATTCCAATCCTAACACATGGGTGGATGCAAAAATTAAATTCAGATTAGCAAAGGATTCAAACCGAGCTAGAGATCTTGCAACTTACCAAGCACGCTGATCTGCGAGTACAGGAACAGAGTGAGTGAGTAATGACGAAAGAGACAGAGACAAAATGAGAGGAAGTGGTAGGTGGGACAGGAAAGGAAGCAGCTTTTGCAATTGGCTGAGAGTATAAAACAGTAAGTCTCTCATTTCCCTGACTCAAGAAGACCAGATATAGATTGCAGTTGCAGAAGCATTGGTCTGCTGTGTTGAGGCCTCATACCATGTGGCTAAAGATCTTTACAGAACCACGGCGGCCCAGAGGACTCAGGGGGCCTGGGGCAAGCAATTTTGGAGGCCCCTTTCATAAAAAAAAGTTGCAATACTATAGAATACTATATTCTCGTGGGGGCCCCTGTGGGGCCTGGGGCAAATTGCCCCACTTGCCCTCCCCTCCCCCTCTGGGCAGCCCTGTACAGAACTGGCTTTAGGAAAATGTGTGTGACAGAATTACCCCCTACTCCTTGTTCCAATTTTTCATACTTGCTATCTGGTCACCCTAGAGAGCCATCAGTGGCTTTCTGTGAACTGTCTTAAAAAGATTTTTCAATCTGTACTAGGGAATGCAATCGTGTGCCAAAGTTTTCAAAGCTAGGTTGGAATGTTCAGAGGAACAAGCCAGAAATCCTGATGTCCGCTCTAAATGGGGCTGATATTCAGAAGTGCCTAGCAGCCGTGTTTAACATTTCTACAAGTCTGCCCACTTATTTAGGAGGCTAAATCAGGATTTCAGAACCTAAATGTAGGCTCCTGGTTTTGAACAATTTTGCCCGGGAATTTTGGGGTCATTTTGATCCTCAAACCCCTTACAAATAGTGTAATATCAATAAACCTATTTCACATTTATATAGCACTTTGGATTTTCCTAATTCTGAAGTCCAGGACTGGAAAATACAGAAAGATACTGTCAGTAGAGAGCCAAATTTCTAAAGGTCGTTTAGGTGCCTAAAGATGCTGAAAAGCATCTAGTGGGATTTCAAAAGTACCTAGGCACCCTAACTTCCATAGGCACCTACTTCCGTCACATGCCTTTGACAATCCTACTATATATCCAGATTCAGAGTCAACAAAGGCTGTGGGAGGCAGGGCCGACTTTAGGCCAATTCCACCAATTCCCCCGAATCGGGCCCCGCACCTAAGAGGGCCCCGTGCCCAGTTGCAGGGCCGCCAGAGGGGAGGGGAGAAAGAAGTGGCCGAGAATCCCTTCCCTGGCTAGAGGCTCCTT